AGAGAAAAACAGAGAAAGGACTACTCAGTGGGGTCATGGTCACACCACAATCCTTTTTCCTACAGTCAACTAACTACATGGGAGTCCAGCAACATAACCATTATGCCATGTGCTGATCCCAATACTCTAATATACTATTAATGTGGTATATTACATTGATTGATTTTCATGTTAAACTAACCTTTAACATGGTATTGGTCTATACTTTTCCTTTTCTTATGGTCTTTACCTGGTTTTAGTATCAGGAAAATACTGACTTCACAAAATGATTGGGAAGTGCACACTCTCCCCTTCTGTCTTTTGGAAGAGTTTGTGAAGGATGTGCAGTACTTCTTTTAATGTCTTAGAAACTTCTTGTGGTGCATAGATTGAAACGGGAACAAGGACATGGCTCCAAAATTGACATTCTAAAATGGACACTCCATGGCAGAAAATGAAAAACTCTTCTGTTGCAGCCTTTAACGATCATCTGTACTTCCGGGCCTGTCCTACGACGAACAGCCTCTTTCATTGTGGAACAGGGAAATTTCCTAAGGGGAGACTGAGAGTGTGTCAGTCTTTCATTAAGTAGAGAAAAAGGAAACCTTTGAAGACAAAGTGAATAGACTTTGTCCCTAGAAGTCCGTAACATTGCTCAGTTCTGAAGTTGCTTTCTCTCCAAATCTGTTAGACCGAGGAACATAGAATTGCTTCCTATTGTCCAAAAATGAACTTAGATTATTCTCCACTCCCCCTTCGTTTTTCTCCTCAGCTGCTTGCTTAGCTTAGACCTCTATTAGCTCTATCTGTATTTCCCTTATGATTATGTAGATTTCAGTTCAAACGTAGTACCTTTTCTTAACACCATACTTTATGGTTTAAAAAGATCAATAAATACTGGTATAATGAATTAAAAATGAAAAAGAGAACTGTTGCGAGGCAAGAAGAAAATAAAATTTCAATGTAGATGTGGCCACAAGTAGTAGGAACCTATGAGCAGAAAAATAAGGTGGTTTTTATTTTGCAGCTGCCTTTTTCCTCCGTAGGTCCCGTAGGTCATTATCTGTGCAATTACTCTTTGAACAGCACCGTGGCAGCTTGTCCTCATTCATCTTGCCTGGAAGAAAGGTTTTTATCTCAGACTGTTTCACACTAGGCCCCAACCAAACCAGCAGGCCCAAATGTTTTATATCAGCAGTTTTCTACTTAATGAGCCGCAAACAGGCTTTTCCTTCTAGTTAACAGGCTTCGGTGTGACCACATGGTCACAGAGGATACAAACCAGAAGAGGCCTTGGAGGCAGTCATTGGCTCCAGAGCTGCGGCAGGTGCCCCTAACGGTGGACAGCCTGCAGTAGGTTTGAGATGGGCTGATGTTTCCTGTCCTGATCCCCACGATGTCCTGACTGTCCAGGAGGCCGGCATGTATGTGCCGTTGCTTGTACACCTCTTTCCTCCTGAGCTTGTGCTTCCTACAGAGTCCTCATTTTATTTCAGCGGTGATGCATTTCGCGAACTCTTACCTTCTGAAGCCTTCCGTCAGGTCCTCTCTGGGTTAGTCTCATGGTCCTCTGTCAGTTCAGACCTATGTTCCTTCATATTTACCAATTTATTAATGCTTGAAGATTCCAGAAGGGAGTCCCTATCCGGGTGGTTCATAACAAATAGATTGTGTTTCGAAATCCTTGAACTCCAGGTCCAAAGATGGCTCTTAGGCAGCGTTTGCTCTTTGGGAAAGTTTGGGATATGATTATGGGGTAATTACAATCATTTTTTAAAAACTGAATATGTGAATATTATGGAGAGATGAAACTTAAGCATAATTAAACTCTAATTTCACAGAGAAGACTATCATTAATACCATGACTACTGATCATATCCAGCCAATAGCATGGGCTGCTATTAGATTAAATTGTTGTTATTCATGGTTTAAAAATAACTTTTGTCTTATTAACTGACAGTCTTGACACTTGAGAATTTTGCACACAAAAAATATGTAAATGTTACTTTTCATGACTCATGCCAAAGAAACTAAAATTATGGTTTTAAATTGGCCTAGTAAAATCATTTCTTTAAAAATAAAAAAGAATATACTACTACTAAAACAGTGGAACAGAACAGAAGTAGCTTTTAAAGTATTTGTTAATAGAAACATAGCTTATGCCTCTGACATATGATTTAGTCCAGAGAAAACTCTATACATCATCATGCCATTATTATTTCGTGTCTCTAGTTATGTTTTATCAAATTTGCACAATCTCTAATTAATTTGAAAAAGGTTACTGCCTGTTACTACTCAGCAATGTATTGGAATATAAGAGATTAAAGTTTCCCTGTATTATCCCTGTGTACAATGAGTTTAGGAAATACTGGGCCAATCCATGGCATAGTGGTTAAGGCAACTGGATCCCACATGGCCAGCTATGCTGTTTGAATCCTGGACTTGGTGACCTGAAAAACACACCGGGTTTTTTGTGTGCCCAAAATCCCAAAAGGAGAGAGCAATGAAGGAGAAGGAATTGAAGCGCAACCATTCCCTCTGGGGTGCTCACTCCCTGGTCCCCTCTCTGTCTTTGTGAGCACACATGCCCTCTGGCAGATTTTGGGTTGGGGGGGGGATAGGCAGGGGCCCAGCTGCAGTAGCAGTCAGGCAGCACCACAACTTGGGAGGCCAGAAGACACACGGGAAGTGTGGTTCAGTTCCTGGGCCAACCTGAACATCCCAGGTGCAGTTTGCATGTTTATAATCCTAGCTAATCAGATCCTAGCTAATGGGCAGGCTGGGGCAGGAGGATTGTGGCATAGCTAGATGCTGTCAAAAATACCTGTATTGGGGCCAGCTGGTAGCGTGGTGATTAAGGCACTGGACTCCCACATGGTTGACCATGGTTTGAGTCTTGGACCTGTTCACTTGGTTTCTTAAATTTCCCTCTCTCTCTCTCTCTCTCTTTCTGTTTCTCTCTCTGTCTCTTTCTCTCTCTCTCTCTGTCTCTCTCTCTCTCTCTGTCTCTTCTAGTCAAATATAAAGTAATAATAGTAAAAAAAAAAATTAAATAATAAAAAATAAATATTTAAGAAGGAATGTGTGCGTCTGTCATTCTCCTTCCCTCCTGCCAAGTTTCTCACTCTCCACTGCCCCCCATAAAGGAAAAAGAGACAGGAATAGGGGACAAAACAAAAATGATAATATTAATGGGCAACATTTGTGTCTCTCTCTTTCTCTCTCTCTCTGTCTCTGTCTCTCTCTCTCTGTCTCTTCTAGTCAAATATAAAGTAATAATAGTAAAAAAAAATTAAATAATAAAAAATAAATATTTAAGAAGGAATGTGTGCGTCTGTCATTCTCCTTCCCTCCTGCCAAGTTTCTCACTCTCCACTGCCCCCCATAAAGGAAAAAGAGACAGGAATAGGGGACAAAACAAAATGATAATATTAATGGGCAACATTTGTGGAATACTTAACCTGTCAGGCACAAGGCTAACTTCTTTACGAGGATGAAGGCTGACAGCCAGGCTCAGAAACAGTGTCACACAGCAGACCTGTCATAGTCTGACCTTCCTGACTACCACCTGGAACATTCTGGGTGCTGCCTGCACCATGTTGAGAAGGACACCCAAATTTGGAGCCACGCGGAAATGCTCCCTGGGGGCTGGAGTAGTCCGAACAATCCTCAGTGGAGATCCTGGGTTCTGAGTGGAAGCTGGAGGGAGCACAGACCCCAGCAAGAGTTAGGGAGTAGGACAGATCAGATGAGCAGGAATTCTAGTACAGGAAGCACACCATGCCCCACGCTGGGGAATGAGAGCAGCATGGCGCCCTTAGAAACCGAGACTGTCACTGTGCAGGACAGGAAGCTCACTTTTGCTCTGACTAGCCAAAAGGTCTGTTTTATCTTTCCTTAATTCACACAAGAAACATGACACCAAGGGTTAAGATTTGCAAAGAGGAACCAGCAGTTAGCGTAATGGCTATTTCGCTGGACTCCCACGTAGTCAACCGCGGTTCGAGTCCCAGACCCGGTGGCTTAAACTCACGCCGGGCGCATGTGCGTGCGTGCCCAAGATCCCGAGAGGAGAATGGAGGAGAAGGGATTGCAGCGTGGCCATCCCCCCTGGGGGGTGATTTCTCGCTTTCTGTCTCTCTGTCTCTCTCTGTCTGGCGAGCGCATGCACCCTATAGCAAAAAAACCTCTCCAAAAAAAAAAAAAGATTTGTAAAGAGTTCTTAAGTTTCATAGCAACTGGGTGATAGAGTGGAAGGATACAAAAGAATAGTTCACACGGTGAGTTTTAGGGAAAAGATTAGAAATCAGAAGAAAAAGAGGAGGTCCAGACTGGCAGCGCCGTCAATAGCAAACTGAACTGCCGCACTGAACGCTGTGCAGTCAACCAAGGGTTCAAATCCCTGGGCTAGCCTGAAAACACACTGAGTACCCAGGAGACCAAGGAGCTGGAGGGCTGGAGAAAGGGGATCTTGGTGTGATGAGTACTTCTCTCTCCCTCTCTTTTTCATAGAATGAGTACAATTTTTTAAAAAATAATTCTCCAGAAGAAACGTGCACTCATCAGAGAAAGTGAGAAGCAGAGGGCATGGTCACATTGCAATTCTTTTTCCTCCACTTCTCCTCCTTTTAGGATTCTGGGCATGTGTGTGTGCACAAACCTGGCATGTTTCTCAGGCTGCTGGGCCTGGGACTCAAATTAGGCAGTCAGCCATGTGAGATCCAGCCCCTTAACCACCGGGACATGAGCTAAATAAAAATAAAAGAAGGAAGAGAGGTAGAGAAACTATATTTTTCATTTTAGAACTTTCTATATAGTTTACAATTTTTCCTTACTTTTTGTATGTGTACCATATATATATATATATATGTATATGTACACATACCTAACCTAACAGTGGCTTACCATTGTGAAGGAAAAATAACATTTACTTCTCATACTGTTGGCACCTTTTTTCTGAGTCAGGGAATCTATCTTTTTCATTGATCTCTAATTTAATTATCCATATTTTTCTTTCACAGATACCCAGGTGTTCTTTCTGATGTCCAGGAGGAGAAAGGCATTAAGTATAAGTTTGAAGTGTATGAAAAGAACGACTGATGTGAATGTGTTTTCAAGCTGTTTCCCCTCCTCTGAAAAAGTGTATATTTTTATATAAGAAAAAAAGGCTTTTGTTGACTTCAGATCTAGGGATAATAATTTCTAAGCAGTATGCTTTTATTCCCATTAATGTTAAATAGACTATATCAGATACCACTTGTGCCATAACTGTCACAGCGTCTTGCCATTGCTGACTCGGTGCTTCTGCCCCACAGCTGAGTCCACGCACCTGCTTAGGGTAGCCCACAGTGGAGAGTCCCTGGGTAGCATGAGTTGACATGACACCACGGGCCAATAGAGACAGAAGCTAGATAGATTAATTCTGGAGCAGAAAAACAGAAAAGCTAGAACTCAGATTTGAAAAAAATTAGATCAAAGTAGGAGCTGTGAATATTCTGTGTACATCACATGCTAAGTAAAGTTGTGCTCACTGAATCTTACAGAAACTTAGAAGATGGCAGCGGGTGCCTACAGGGGCTGAAAGACTCACTACAGGCAGACCAGCTTGAAATCTGAAAGTACAGTCCTTTCTTGAATTTATTCTAAAAGGAAGTTACAAATATGTCCAGGGATAAATGTAACTTTTTCTAAAAATGGTCATTATTTGTGAAATCTGTGTGTGTGGGACTGGCAAGTGGCATGGTGGTTAAGGGCACTGGATTCCCACATGGCCGACCATGATTTCAGTCCAAGACCTGGCTACTTGCTTTCTCACTTTCCCTCTCTCTCGCTCTCTTGCTCTGTCCCTCTCTGGTCAAATTAAATAAGTAAATAAATAAATAAAGTTAATTAATTCTTTTAAAAACTGTGTGTATTTTTAAGAAGTTTAGGCTTTTGGACCAGCAGGTGGTGTTGTGGTTAAGGTGCTGGACACTCCCACATGGTCAACTACGGTTCGAGTCCCAGACCTGGTGGCTTCCTTTCTCCCTTTCTCTCTCTCTCTCTCTCTCTTTTTCTCTCTCTCTCTGTGTGTGTGTGTGTGTCTCTGGTGTACACGTGTGTGTGTGTGTTTGTGTCTGGTCAAATTAAAATAAATGAATGAATAAATAAAATTAAATAATAACTAAAAAAAAAGTTTAGGCTTTAAACAACTAGAAGTGTGCAGTTTTATTACATGCATAGATGAGCTTTTTATTTTTTATTTGGAAGCTAATATAAGTAGTTTTGAAACTAGAATTTTGGTTTCCAGTTATGTATTTTCTGTTTGTCTACCTGAAGTTTATCAATTGTTTCTGGGCTTGCTGCCTTTCTTTTTAATCTCACTTGTTCTGGAAGGTTTTGTGGGTTTTTTGTTTGCTTTTTGGAGAGGTTTTTGCTATAGGGTGCGTACACTCGCCAGATAGACAGAGAGAGACAGAAAGCAAGAAATCACCCTCCAGGGGGGATGGCCATGCCACAATCCCTTCTCCTCTCAGGATCCTGGGCATGCATGCACACACGCCCAGCATGAGTTTCAAGCCCTCAGGTCCGGAACTTGAACCGTGGTCGACTACACGGGAGTCCAGCAACATAACCATTACACCAACTGCTGGTCCCAGGTTTTGGGTGGTTTTTTTTTTTTTCCTAGTTTCGACTACTTATATGCTCAGATCATTTCCAGACCTCATTTTGTAAGTCTCAAAATTGCAAGACTACAGACATTGGAATTAGGTCTGGCCCTAAATATTGTGCACAAAAGAGAGTTGGGGTGCTTGGTATCTATCTTAGTTAAGGCTAGTGGGAAATATCTGGTAAGTAAATGTCAGATTATGGAACTGAAGAACAGGGGGCCTAATTCATTGAGCTTTATAACTGATTCACTCATTGAGAATACTTCAAACTTTACCACATAAAAAATAAATGAATGTTAATGAATGTTTTTAAAAAGAAAAAGAAAGCTTGCTTTTACTCAGAATCAGCAAATTGAGAACTCCAATATGTTCCATAGGGACAGTGAAAGAGCAGATAGGAAACTACCTTTTTGATGATTAAAAAAGAAGAAAAAAACCTGAGACTTGAAATTTCTATTTCTGATCTTAGTAAAATTCCAATGATATACAGTGATAGAACAAGAATAGGCTACTCTTTACAAGAGTATAATCTAATAACAAGCATAAGAGCTAAAATTTAAAATTCAAAAAGAAGATAGATATTGCTAGAAACCAAAATTAAACCTTCACAAAATTAAAAAGTTAAAATATGTTTAATTATCACATTGGCAAAATTTAGACTATCAGGTGTGGAAAGAATTATGCCTTGTGAATTAGTATTGTCTTTTTAGAGTATAAGTTATTATTATCAATTCAAGCTCCAAATATTCTCGGTTTGGATTCAGAACTTCCATTTCTAGAAGATAATCCTGAACAGAGATCCAAGAATATTTGTAGTATTTTTTAAACTGCTTCCAAATGTTAACAAATGAGTAATTGATACATCTGTAAAATTCAATATTCTGTGGCATTTAAAAGACAGATTCTGGGGCCAGGAGGTAGCATGGTGGTTAATGTTGTACGACTACCACATTGCCGACTATGGAACGAGTCCCAGGCGGTGACTTTCTCTCTCTCTCTCTCTCTCTCTCTCTCTCCCCCTCTCTCTCCACCCCACTCTGGTCAAATTAACATACATACATACATACATAAAAGTTAAATGAAATAATCCATAAAAAAAAAAAGACTGAGATTCTAATAGAAAAATGTCAGTGGAATGAAAGAAACAAATTGTGTAAAATATCCAAAATGTATGATGTTAATATGCATAGGAAGACAGCATGCTGCAGACCGTTTACAGTATCAGAGTTGACAAGTATTCTTTTCTGCATTAAGTATGTCTACTGTGGCTAGGTTTTTTTTTGAAACATTATGTGTTCATTTTCATAAAAATCTATTTAAAATAATCAATTGAGTCCTTTATATTCACCAGTGAAATAAGGATAGAGGACACCAGAAGTAAAAAGGAATTTCCTTAAAACAAAACAAAACAAAACAAACAAAAAAACAGGATCATACAAAAGAATAGAAGTCAATATTACATAAGACTTGAAAAGTCCAGCTGGTTGCATAGCACAGCAAGTAGGAGAGCTTGGTCCCATGTGACAGACCATAGTTCAAGTCCCAGCCATGGTGGCATGCTAGGTGTGTATGTGTGCATACCCATAATCATGATGCGAAGGAGAGATGCAGAAAAAGAATTACGGTGTGACCACACCCCACTGGGGTCTCTCTCTGTCTCTGGCCAGTGCATGGCACTCTTTTTTTAATGTTTAAAGCAAAAACAAACTGGTAAATTTTTTTTTAATGTTTACAACAAAAACAAGACTTAAAAGCACAAGGAAACTGTGATACTCTCTGCAATGAATATAACCTGAAAACTATTAGTATCCAGAATTTACAGAGCACAAATACTGAAAAGAAAAAAAAAAGCCGTTTAGAGAAGAAACTCAAGTGATCCGTAAATACAGGCCATTCCCACTAGTAATTAGGATAATGAAAATTAAAACTACAGTGAAGTGCTCTTCCACACTGATACATATGCAGTATTCTCACCTTCCTTGGCCTTGTCAGCATTTTGAAACACTGACATTGTTTTTGTTTTGGGGTTTTTTTATTATTTATTTAATTCCATCTGTTTGTTTGTTTGTTTGTTTGTTTTGGGGTTTTTTGTTTTGTTTTGTTCTTTTAATTTCACCAGAGAGACAGAGAGAAAGGGAAAGGGAGAAAGCAAAGCACCAGGTCCAAGACTCAAACCATAGTCAGCCATGTGGGAATCCAGCGCCTTTAACCACCACGCCACCTGCTGGCCCCAAACATTGACATTGTTTATTAAGGAGTGTAAACCCTTAAACTCAGCAGTTCTGCTTGTGGGTAAATTCCAAAAGTAAACCTCTCTTTAAATGTATATTGAGAGGTCTGTAAAAGAATGGTGTAACCTTTTCTACAGCTGTCTAATAACAGGAAACAATATAATACTGTCTTAGATTACATTTTCTTCAAAGCAGATCCCAAGACTTAAATTTTAGTGAAGGCAGTTCATTTGGTAGGTTATACCAAAAAGCACCAAGTGGAGTGTGGAAGAATGAAACTGGGAAGGTAAAAAAGCCAGTTCGGGGTCGGTGAGCAGGTTCTCGGTGGGCAACAAGCTCAGTCCTGCTGAGATACCTGGGAAATGGAAAGAAGAAAGCTGAAGCGTTTGACCCCATTGGTGAGTTGGAGGCTGTTCTGGGGATTGTCAGCTCCCTGCCCCGTGTGTGGGCTGAACACACTCCAGCTGCTGGGGGGCCCAGGTGTCTGCAGGAAACAGCCATAGTGTGCACGAGAACTGTGAGCGCTGAACACTTGAAGCAGTTCAATTTGTTTATGATTGTGCATGGAAGAACTCCACGTTCTTTAGGTAATAAAAGCACAAAGCCACACTTGGTTTGTTTAATGTACTTCATAGTTTTTTATAAAATACAGAAGCAAGAGAAATCTGAAGTTCAAATGAGGGATGATTGTTGTTTGGACCAGAGAATTAGACATAATGAGAAATTGTGATTCAGATGTATTTTTAATTTGGAGATAGCAGGATTTTCTGGTCATTTGACTTTGGTTTGGGACCCACTTTGAGTCCAAGGTGCTTTTACGGAAGAAGGGGAAAAGGGAATAAAAAGAAAAGAAACTGAAAACAATGAACCATGCCTTCAAAATTCTGCAAAGAAAGTTATTTTTAACTGATAATCTATATCTATACTCAGCCAAATGACCAATCAAGGGTGAGGGTAAAATAAGGACATTGTAAAGACTCGAGGTCAACCTCTATGTACCCTTTCTTGGGAAGTGGAGAAAAGCTCCAGCAAAATAAATGTGTAAACTAAAAAAGAGGATCTCAGGGGATCAGAAAGAGGATCCAACACAGGCTATATTCCAGCTAGGAATCTGGCTTAGAAAACAAACTAAAAATACTAGGTTGGGGCCAGCAGTTGACACAGTGGTGGTTAGAGTGCTGGACTCCCACGTGACCAACCACGTTAAGGTCCCAGAGAGTTGGCTTTCTTTCTCACTTTCTCTCTCTAATTCTCTCTCTGGTGAGCATATGTGCCCTATAGCAAATTTAAAATAATAAATAATTCTTTAAAAAAAATACTAAGTTATCAAGGGACTAGCAGCGTAAAGGCTATGTCACTGGACTCCCATGTAGTCGGCCACGGCTTGAGCCCTGGACCCAGTGGCTTAAACTCACACCGGGCACGTGTGCCTGCATGCCCAAGATCCCGAGAGAAGAATGGAGGAGAAGGCATTGTGGCGGGGCCATACCCCCGGGGGGGTGATTTCTAGCTTTCTATCTTTCTGACTTTCTGGTGAGCACACACGCCCTATAGCAAAAACCTCTCCCAAAAATAAATAAAAATAAATAAATAAAAGTTGCAGACAGATCTGGGATATTGGGAAAGAAAGAAGCACATTGAAGATAAAGCAAATATAAAACTGGAAGGCCAGCAGGTGGCATGGTAGTTAAGGGTGCAGGACTCCCACATGACCAACCACAGTTTGAGTCCCAGCAACTAGCTATCTCTCTCTCTCATTCTGTACCTCTCCAGTCAAAAAATAAAGTTAAATAAAATAATTCTTAAAAAAAAAAAAAGAAAGAAAAAGAAAAACTCTGAGGAAGGCAAGAGAGACAATTCCAGGAAAAAAAAAATTATGAGGAAAGAAGTAAAAGCACAGCGTGCTGTTTTCCTCCACAGTGAGT